GTTTCAGGCTCAATCCCCAGTGGGGGGTGTGCAGGAGGCAGCCGATCAATATTTCTCTCTCACCTTGGTGTTTCTCTCTCTCTCTCTAAAAAACTCAATAAAAACATTTAAAAAACAAACAAACAAAAAAAAAAACTAGTGTCACCCTCGAAGAGTCATCTCCACCTATGATTTCAAATCCTGCAGGCAGTGGGGCTGCCAAAAGGCTGCAGCTACTTTGTTTAGCAGTTGGGCAAAAGAAAGCACATGTCTGGGGCCAAGGCTTCTACCTGTCCAATGTCCTCCCTCCTCTCCTCCTCAGCGCTAGAGCCCTAATGTTCAGTTGGCTCATGGACGTTGAGTATAAAGACCCATTTATTTCTTAGCCTTCTTCATAGGTAGAGATGGCCATGTTACCATAGGTCCTGGCCCTGGGACACAAACCAAAACATCATGAGCAAACTGCAAAACTGTCCCCACAGGATCTCTGACGGTTACTCACATGGAACCATCAGAAGCAAACAGGCTAGAGACCCACTAAAGTTTTAAAAGACTCCTATCTCCCCAGAAAAAAGCCATGATTGTTCACCCTCAAAACAATACTCAGACCCAAACTTCTCAGGAAAAGGCCATCAAAAGCTCATTCCCTACGATGCTCATCTTAGATATGATATGGTTAAGATTCCCCTCCCCGTAAAGAGAAGGCAAAGCCAAGATCCCAAAGGACACTGGGCGAGAGACCAAGGAGAGCAGAGCCCAGGCTGCCAGAGGACAGACCACCAGGAAACCTACCCACCGTCAGCATGGGGAGTCTTTCCTTTCCTCTCCCCGCCCAGGGGTATCCGAGGGTCCCTACTTCAACTACAGCAAGACCATGTGCCAGGGGTGCTTAGGGCAGACAGCGCATCTGGTTCAACTAACGGACTACAGCCAGGCCTCAGGGAGCTACGTCCGGCCCTGAGAGAAGCCTGTGCTTCCCCAGAGAGCCTGAAGCTGATCAATGGGAAGTTAATGGCCAGGGTATCGGGACTGTCTTCCTGGAGGAGGGTGAGAGTTTGGGATGGAAAGGAAGGCAGATGCAACATGCTATCTGGGACTGTGCAGAAATTGCTGGTTGTTCCCCAGTAAGCACTTTCAAGAGCAAAGGCATGTCATTAGAGACCAAGGCTGAGATCATCCACACCCTTGTATCAGCAATTACTGTGTACAGATGTGAAAGTTGAGCAGTGAAGAAGACTGATAGGAAAAAATGGACTCCTTTGAAAGATGGTGTTGCAGGAGAGCTCTGTGGATACCCTGGACCACCAGAAAGAAAAGAAAGTAGACCATATGAAGCCTGAATATCACTGGAGGCAAAAATGAAAAAACTGAAGACATCCTACTTCGAGCATATCATGAGAAGGCAGGGTTCTTTGGAAAAAATAGTAATGCTGAGAAAAATATAAGTCAGCAAGAAAAGAGGAAAACCAATTATGAGATAGACTGACTTCATAAAAGAAGCTGTTGGCATGAGTGTGTAAGAGCTGAGCAGGGCCCTGGGGGCCAGTGTGGCTCGCATGGTTGAGCATCATCCTGTGCACCAAAAGGTTGCCGGTTTGATTCCCGATCAGAGCACATGCCCAAGTTGCAGGTTCGAACCCTGGCAGGGGGCATGCAGGAGGCAGCCGATTGATGTTTCACCCTCACATCAATGTTTTTCTCTCTCCCTCCCGCTCCTTTTCTCTCTCTCTAAAAATTCAATCAAATTTCAAAAAGAGATGAGCAGGGCTGCTGAGGACAGGACATGGTGAACGTCACTCATTCAGAGTCACCAGGAGTCAGAGCCAACTCTAAGACACACAGCATACATGTACTTTCCCTCCTTCCTTAGAAAGAGAATTTCCAACGTTTACCTGGAACAAGTCCCAAGGTGGTGGGAGTGGGAAGTAGGGAAAAAGGATTTTAGAAACCTTATAATAAAGATCTATATCTAATCTAAATTTCACTTCTATTCCAGTCCATTAGGAAAGAGCCACTCAGGAGACACAGAAGCCATAGATGTAAACAGAGAAACAAGCATGGAGCAAACCCAGTCCTTGGCTTGGAAAATCCTTCCTGCCCTGCCTAGCTGACCTACTGATGCAATGTACCATATAATTATTACAAACATTCAGAAACAAGAAGGATTCCACACACCGCTATGATGGTAGAGTTTGACTCTGTTCCGATGACCCCAGGCACTGAAAGATGCTGTATGAAATTAATCGATACATGTGAAGTACATAAGAGCCATGTCTGGAAGATAAAAGCTTACAATACATGTTGGCTGCTATTATCAGTATTATTCCCACAATACACTATGTTTCCATAAGGAGAGCTTATGTAGGATCAAATATAATACTAGCTACAGAAATGTTTTTGGTCTTACACTTAGAAAGCAGTAAGCCACATGCTTCCCTTGTCTATCTCATGGTCCCTCTGCGGACAATTTTGGGTCATTTGGGCACTAAGGTGACCTTTTCAAGCTCCTTCTCTTGAAAAAGGCTACAGTCCCCCAGGAACTTCTCACCAGGCGCGCAGACTCATTCGGCTGCAGTGAGTAACGACCTGAGGGTGGCAAGGGACCCATGTGCGCAGGGGAAGAGGATGGTGAGGGTCGGTGCTGGTGAGCAAGTCTTTACTCACTCTCTGCTCTGGCCAGCAGAGCGATCGGTGGCTCACCACCAAAGCCATTTACTGCGTGCTCTACAGAGAACAAGCAAGAAGACAAACAAAAAGATTCCTAAATATCCTCGGAAAAGGTAAAATATTCTTCTTTCATAAAAATAGAAACTCTTAATCCTACAGAAGTTTCCAACTCCACTATCATCGAGTTCAGCTACACACTTTTATAGACCCGTGCTGCATACGGCAGAATTTTTTTTTTTTTTTATAAAAAGTTCAATATCAAAAAGAGCTTACCAATATTCAGGCAACTAAAGCAGTGTATTTGCGTGGTGTTATTTTCCATCCTAAACACAGGCTCCCCAGGTGTAAGGAAACCCAAGCACCCAATCACACGTAGCCTTGGTAATGCACTGCCCACTACACAAGCTCAGAGACCATTATTCCAATGTTTCAAGATTGTCCAACATAAAATAGTCTTCACTTATGTCCACAGAAATAGCAAAAATGGTCTGGAAGTGCCAGAGTTTTCCCATCTGCATTTCACCTCCCCAAATCTTATGTTAAATACTGGTCTTGATTTGGGTTGTTTTTTTTTAAATCCTCACTGGAGGATATTTTTTCCATTGATTTTTAGATAGAATGGGAGGGAGGAAGGGAGAGAGAGAAACATCGATGAGAGAGACATATCGATTGGTTGCCTCCCACATGACCCTAACTGGGGCTGGGGATCGAACCACAACCAAGATACATGCCCTTGACTGGGAATCAGACCAACAACTCTTCTGTCCACAGGCTGATGCTCTAACCACTGAGCTAAACCTGCCAGGGCTGATTTTTTTTTTTTTTTAGAAAATGTAATTGTAATGAGTCAATCTCTTGCTATAACAGACTGTTCATTCGAGTAACAAAAGATTCTCACAAGGTTTGTGCCAGCAGGTAATGACTGCTCCACCTACACGAACAGGCATCTCCTCTGTAGGGATTAGAGGAGGGGAGGGGAGTAGTGCAGGGGAGGCTGGGAACACAGGGAAAGTTCCAACGACAACACAAAACAACTCAGTAAACAAGAACTGTCGTTGCCATGGCTCATATTCCCCTTCCTACTGCCCCCCACCCTACTCTGCCAATTCACCTACACCAGCGATATTTCAACCAGTGTGCCGCACGGTTTTTCAAACATGCAATACCTGACTATTTAGTCAGGGACACTGCCCTCTCTTCCCTTCGACTGTCAAGTAAGAAAATGACAACAGCCAACACAACGATAGCCATCCAGTGGAAATGAATCAAAAATATAGCTATTTTTTTGTATCACATCAGCAAAAACTGTATTTTTTGGTGTGCCGCAGAATTTGAGTGATCAGTCTGTGTGTGCCGGGAGAGGAGGGAGGCTGAGGATCGCTGCCCTAGGAACGCTTTGCTGCAGCCTCCACACCACTCAGGCTGCCGTTTCCGTGGCTCTGCGTATGAGGGTCAAGAAATCCTCAAGTCATCGTTTGATACCAACATGCTATCAAATTCCAGAAATGATTAAGAAGGCCAAAATATTTCCATATGTTCCCTACATTGAATTATGCACTTAACTATGCAGTCTAACAGGGAAAAGTGTCTAGAAACTGTGAATCTGGTTTTTTTTGGGGGAGGGGGTTGCAGTCCTTACATTTTAGTCCCATGTTGAGGGAAGATGCTTTTCTTATTCACTCCCTCTATAACCCTACTTTTTAAACTATCTCAAAATAAGAGTATTAATTAATACTGACTAATTTCAGAGTTTAAATATTCCTTTCATCTGTTTTCCATTTTTGAACCTTTAATCAAAGTCCAGGAAACAGAAGGAATAAAAGGGAACATTTTCAATAAATTTCAAGCATCCACACGGGATTACAGAGTGCTTAAAAAATGTCTTGGACAGGAACATACCAAAACAGGTTTTCAAAGTACAAAGCTCCAATTTATTTCCATTGAACACAGCTTACATGTCATTCAAATCTGGTATCCTGACACCCCTGCAAAATAACGTAAACTAAGTGTTGTAACGCTGGTGCCAACAACACAAAATGATAACTTGAACCACAATGCCACCTGTTAAACATGTCTTTTCGTAATGTTCTCTTTCCCAAGGACGTTCTGAAAGGCCTGATTAAAAAGAAGAGTCACAGGCACAAAAACATTCTTCAAAACACAAACCTCTGATCAAAGAACTTCACTTAATTTCTCTGCCTACATCTGAACTCTTCTAGGACAGGGGTACGCCTACCTTGCTAATGGGTTTACGACAAGTTCTTGTTCTATGCGTCCACCCCTTCTCCCCAGCACTGGTAGAGAGAACAAACCTTCAACATAACTGGACTCATCTGTGTGGGTCCACAACTTACCCGTCCAGAAGATTCATGGTGGTGGATGTCACTTCAGCAAACAAAATTACTTTCCCAAGTTGCTTTGTCTGCAAATTTTCTCGGTAGATCTCTAAGTTAAAATGTTCAGATGAGAAGGCCATCGTGTCAGTTACCACAGGGAGGGAAGTTGGGGTGACTTCTATTTCAGACGTGTAGGATGGGACAAACTTGAGGGAGAGCTTGCTGGATGTTATGACTCCTCCAGCATCCACACATTTCTCCAGCCACTGCATAAGAGGATCCTGCATTTCCTGTGTCGTAAAGAGAGAAATAGAAGGTCGTAATGCAGCATTATGTTAGATCAGCAGTTCTCAACTTGTGGGTCACGACCCCTTTGGGGGTCAAAGGACCCTTTCACAAGGGTCGCCTAAGACACAACAGCAGTGAAATTACAGTTATGAAGTAGCAATGAAAATAATTTTATGGTTGGAGGTCACCACAACATGAGGAACTGTATTAAAGGGTCACGGCATTAGGAAGGTTGAGAACCACTATGTTAGATGAAGGTAGCTTTTCCCTAAAATGCCATTTAGATAATATAAGCACTTCCTAAATCATAACCAATAAAAGCTAGATTCGTGTATTCTGAACATTTAAACTATTATATAGCAGATGATAAGTACGCTAAGTATGCTTATACTAATAAACTGTTCAGAAACCAGAATCCAAGGAAATAGGTAGAATTCATTATCATACTTTTTTTAAAATAAGTTTTTATTGGTTTTTTTAGAGAGAAAAAGACAGAAACGTGGATGAGAGAGAGAAACTCCTGCACGCCCCCTACTGGGGATTGAACCTGAAACCCAGGCATGTGCCCTGACCAGAATTGAACCGGGACCTCTCAGTCCATGGGACGACACTCAATCCCCTGAGCCACACAGGCCGGGCTTTTATCATACTTTCTATCCTAAATTCTCCAAAGGCCCTCCAGCTCTAGGGTTCACTAGTAATTCACTAGTAATTCTCTAGCCCCCTATGCATTTTACAGAAAATGTGTATCTTTATACTTTTGCCCACAAGGATTCACTATCCTATCCAGAAGGAAAAACAAAACCCAGGTGAAGGAAGTCACGAAGACAAGCACTAAGATATGGAGAGCGTTCGGCCTCAGCTCCAAGCACCTCCACCTCCCCTGTCACAACAGCTAACCACCCGAGCCACCGACTGGTCACTGACAACAGAGAAGTACGTTGTCACACAGGGAAAACAACGGGGTGCCCAAAAGCTGCATGCTCTGTCCCAAATGCAGGTCCAGGTAGGAGAAGGCTGAACCTATGTAACCTAGAACAGAACCTCCATCTACCCCTTAAGTCACAAGAGTCCTAGAACCTCCCCAGAGGATGCAACTTCCTCTATGACCCTGGCAGGCCTAGAGGCCTCCTTCTGAGGTGGTATATCAGGGAACTAACTGTAGGGTTGGGGGATCCCCATCCCTAGAGGTCTACATAAATGGTACTAAAATCTGTCAGTCACAGTAAACGCAGATCCAGGCTCTTTGGTCATCTTTATGCAAGTGCCAGGCCCTTTGAAAGAAAAACTCGTCCCTTTGTTAACATCGGGGGAATGTCCCAAAGCCCCCTGCAGATACAGAGAAGCAGCTTCAAGGATGAAGCAAGCTGACTCCCTGGCACCAGGATCAGTCCACTCTGAGGACCACATTGAGAGCAGATTGAGGGGGCAAACACGTGGAAGCAGAGACCATTTATGAAGCCACTTAGATGACCTGGGAGGGAGGTGATGATGCCCGGACCGCACATGACAGTGGGCACGGTGAGAAGGGAGGGAATTCTGCATCTACCTCCGAGTAGAGGCTGTAAGATATACTGACATCTGCAAAGATCCAATTTGCAAATAAGGTTACATTCACAGGTTCTGGAGGTTGGACTTCAATGTATCTTTTGGGGGCACATAATTCAACCCACAACAGGGGTTAATGCTTACATGTGAGAGATGAGGAAGAGTCTGCAAAGGAGACTGAGAAGGTAAAAGGACATCGTGCGTGCGTGCGTGCATGCATGTGTGTGAGTGTCCTGGGAGTTGTGTGAGAGCAGTTTTGCAAACTGGAGAAGGAAGGGGTAGATGATGGCAGAGCAGTAAGAAGAGACTGATGGGAATGGAGGAAGGAAAGAAAGTACAGACCCCAGGAAAAACTCTAGAGAGAAAAAGAAAATGGGGCAGCTGCTAGAGGGAGGAACGAGGTCAAAAGAGGTTTGATTTGGTTTGAATGAGAGAAATAACAGCTTGTCTTTTTTCGATGGTGTGAATGGGCCTACAGAGAAAAGACAACAGGAGAACAGGTGAGGGACGGACCTATGCTCAAGCAAGGGAGCTCAGCCTTGGGAGCAGAGCCACTCACCCACCGGGATGGACAGCACCTGCATTCCTTCTGGGGACAACCAGCCTGCTTCCCCACTGGGTCAAGGCCCCCACTGGGTCCTCACCCCTTGCTGGCCACAACCTTCCGTACAACCCAGAACATCTATTCCTAGTTATTTACCCAGGAAAAATGAAAACACGTGTCCACACACAGACTTGTACATAAATGGTCAGAACAACTTTACTCATAATAGCCAAGAAATACAAGCAGCCCAAATGTCTACCAACAAGTGAATGGATAAATTATAGCATATCCATACAATGGAACACGACTCGGGAATAAACAGGAATGAACTACTCATATATGCAACAACACAGATGAATCTCAAAACATAATGCTGATTAAAAGAAAAAAAAATAAAAAGACACAGAAGAGGATATACCATATGATTCAGTTCAGAAGAAATTCCAGAAAAGACCAATCTAACCCATAATGAGAAAAAGCAGACCAGTGACTGCCCGAGGCTGGGCACGGGGTGGGGGAGTGGATGAGGACCGACTGAGGAAGAGAACAGGTATCTTGTGAGTTACTGGAAATGTTCTATATCTTGACTGCAATGGTGATTACTCAGGGGCATATATGTTTACCAAACTACACCAAGATGGATGCATTTTCTTGAATATAAATCATACCTAAAGTTGATTTTTTAAGTGCAAATAGCACCAAGCTTGTGCAACACTGAACAATAACTGAAGTCCATGAGACTCTATGGTCATTAATGTCCAAAACACCACCAGTATCCCAACTTTCGAAGAAATCAATGCTTACCCTTAATTTAGTGCAAATACACAGAAGTGGCTACTCTATGGTTAGTCACATACAGTAACATCTGCTACAGGGAGTGCAGCTAAGGTCAGAGACGTTCAGTCTGCTATGTCCCATCACTTTAGAGTCTTTTCACCCAGCACTTGTCTCATCGGCTACATTTATCCATCTAAGAAGATTCAGTAAGTGAAACACAGCCATACTCTGGTTCAGCATTGGATTCAAAATATTTACTACCATCTCTGTTTGTGTTTTGGTCCTCCTCTTTCCAAGAAACACCAAACAACTTATCTTAACCTCTAAAGGGTTTCTACCTCAGAGATACATTGGCCTCATCGTAAGTAATCAGATTAGTTGTGCCTCAGTCATAACATTATATGTTGCTAGGCAATGAGAAGTGTGTAAATCAGAAGATGAAACCACAAAGACATGAAACACAAGCTCATTTTATGGGTGTCTTATTCTCAGTTAAATATGCTCAAGGAAACAGGAATAAATAATCTCCACTGAAACAACCCTGATCTTACTACTATATTTTACAAACTTGTATTTTACAAACTTTGTATTTTACAGCCAATTTCACATTGACTCAGTGTCTTCACACACATGATAAAGACACACAGCATAGCATATCTTTATAATCAAAAGATGACACTCCTAGCCCCAGTGTGGCTCATTGGCTGAACGTCATCCCATGTATGGAAGTCACCGGTTCAATTCCTGGTCGGGTTTCTGACTTGATCCCCAGTAGGGGGTATGCAAGAGGCAGCTGATGAATGTTTCTCTTTCATCAATGTTTCTACCTCTCTCTCTCTAAAAATCAATAAAAACCTTTTCTTTAAAAGATGATGGTCCTGCCCTGGCCAGCTTGGCTCAACAGTAAGAGCGTCAACCCGCAGACCAGAGTCCCAGATTCAGTTCCCACTAAGGGCATGTACCTTGGTTGCAGTTTGTCCCCAGCCCCGGTTGGGGTCGTGTGCGTGGCAACCACTCAGTGTGTCTCCCTCACATCGGTGTTTCTCCCTCTCTCTTCTTCCCTCTCTTCCTCTTGTTCTATCTGAAGATAAATGCAAAAATGTCCTCGGAGGAGAGAAAAGGAAAAAAAGATGATGATCCTAGAAGATCAGGACTGACCTCATCATCTAAGTCGGGGGCTGCTCATATGGCAATCCTTAGGTGACTTTTATTCCAAGCACCAGAACCACCAAGCAGTGCAAAGTGTCAGCGAGGTCTGAGATGAGTGTGCCCCTCCTCACCTGATGGGTCCCTATAGGGATGCTTCTGTCCTCACCCCACTAGGGCAGTTTGCCCAACCCTTGCCTAACTTGTCCAGATGTCTGCTTGGATGGCACTGCATCCCAGCTCGGGTTCCCACAGCCCCTGCCTTCCTGCTTCCCCTAACATGACCTGCCACCGATCACAAGCACTGTCATCCCAGAATTACTGGATCTGGAAGGACTTCAAGCTCCATGGCAACGGCTGAAACCAGTCCACCCCCACAAACATGCTGGTCAACTGTCACCAATGGACAAATGAACATGTTTTAATTGGACCACCCATTTTGAACTAGTTACTATCACTTAAAAATCAGGACATTTCATGTCGAATTTCCTAATGCTTTTAAAGAAAGGAAACTCTCTCTCACATGTTAACAACTGGCTGAAGCCAAGGGGCACTGCCCTCGTTACCTGGGGACACGGCTGACTCCGCGTGCCACCTCTTCTGCCCCTAGGCTTGAGACCACTCGTGCTGGCCCTGGTACCGAGTCTGGCACCAACCCAGCAAGATCTCCTGTGGGCCCTGGACAATGCTTCTGTCCCGTTAGGCCCATCTGAACTCATCAGAGTGACTGTAGTGACATCAACTCTCAAAATAGCAGGGAAATAATTTGGCAATTCCTCAAAAAGTCAAAGGGAACAACATATGACCCAGCACTTCCCAAGTATGTATCCAAAAGAAAGAAAAGCAGGGACTCAAACAGATACTTGAACACCGATGTTCATAGCAACCTTCTGCACAGTAGCCAAAAGGTAGAAATAACCCAAGTGTCAACAGAGGCATCAACAGGTAAATGGATAAACGAAATGTGGAACACAGACACGTGGAATA